GTTTGTTGCACATGTTAGTCTTTGCATGCGGTCATGCGGTGAGCCTTCGGGTCGTCACCCTCGGTGGTTCGCAACGGCTGCGGGTTCTTGGACTCACGACATAGGAGCTGGCACTCTCGCAACATGGTCTACTTGCCGTACGTTTTGCAGTTATACCATTTAGTTGGGCTGGGCTTCTATGCCCTCGGACACTCTGCCCGCCAATCTTGAGATAGTGCCGTTGCTCGTATGTCCCGGTAGCAAGCTGGAAGTCATGCCTGCCTCGTGCCAGTGTGCGTGTCGCGAAACCCTCCACTGCAACCTGTACTTGGGGGTTCATGGGTAGTTATAAGTGGAGTTAGAAGTCCCCTAATATGGATTATAACTATAGTTACTCTACTTACAACCCCACTTATAACTACCCCTAAACCCCATAGAACAGTCCAAGCAGGCGACAGGGCGCGGAGCAGCTCCGGCTTCGAACTTTGACCCTGGAGAAGGCGGCGGGGCTCCTTTCAAGGTTAGGGTTTAGGATTTAAGGTTTAGGTTTTTTGGGTTTGGGGGTATATTCTGGCAGCCAGCTAGCCCAGTGTCAAAAGGGTTTTGGGGTTTAGGGTTTTTGGGTTTAGGGTTTTGGGGTTTAGGATTTTTGGGTTTAGGGTTGTTGGGTTTTTGGGTTTAGGGTTTAAGGTTTTTGGGGTTTACAGTTGTTTACAGAGCTCCTTCAAGGGATTCGTCAGAGGTTCCTGCAGGGGTTCATGAAAGGTTCCTGGTTTAAGGGGAGCGTTCAGAGGCCCCGGGGGGCTCTTGAAGAGTCTAGGGTTTAGTTTAATTAAGGAATATACCTGCAATTAGAGAGGCCTTGATATTATGGTTTAATGTATATTCCTTAATTAAGGGGTGTTGGTTAGAAGGGGCCCCCACCCTGTAATAGTGGTATAATTGGAATATAATGAGGCCCTAATATAATCCTTAGAGTCACTATTACAGGGTGGGGGCAGCTTCTAGGGTTTAGGGTTTGTAGGGGGCTAAAGGCTCTTATGGGACAGTTTTGAGTTCATTTCTGTAAGGGTTCTTTCAGCGTTCTTTACGTGTTCCGGTTAAGAATTACTGTAGGAGCCTTAATGATTAGAATGAGTTTTGGTGGTTCTTTATTTTGTATTACTAAGGTCCTACATTAATTTGGGATTTTGCTTTCCTGCCGGCCTAGTGGGATGGGGATTTTGGGCAATGGTCGTTTCGTGTTGTTTGTTCTAGCTTTCCTTGTTCTGGTGGGCCAAAACACCCACGGCAGGATCAGGATCAGTTAGGACATGTATGGACCATGATTGTATTATAGCCTGAGGGGCTTTAGTCTTTGCTCGGGTCGGGGTTTCACGCTTTCAAAAGGGGTTGCTAACCTAGTATGTTATGGGTTGCATGTTCTTGCAGCTGCTTAACTTGCTAGTTGCAGTTTGAAGGATTTGAAGCGACGCCGAGGCCCTGGTCTAGGCATTGAGTTTAGGGTTTAGGGTTGTGCATCCTGCTTGCTTGGAATCTCTGGGCGTCTAACTGGGATGAGCCGCCCTAGCTCTACCTACTGCGTCTCTGACCCAATTTGTCATGGGGCTGGATAAAGAGCTTTGAAGGGGTCCTCTCTTCGAACTTGGCTGTCCTAAATCGTCTATATGCTCACGCTTTCACGGCCTGAATCCTTATCCCTGAATCGTACATTCCGTGGAACACTACTCCGCCAAGCATCCCTGAACCATAAACTCCTTACATCGCTAAACCCTAAACGCTCAATCCCTAGAGCCCGAAACCCTTACGAAGTCTTGACCTTGACAACCTTGTTTTCGAATCCTTATCGCATGCTCATGCAATCTGGAGCAGGGTTGCAATCCGTAAACCCTACTGGATTCTTGCTAAGGCTTTTTTCAGTTACCATAAGAGGGATCTATCGTAATTATTAATATGGTTTTCTTATTATGGTTCTTAACAAGAGCCCAGCCTACGCCGCTCATTGCCAGGCTTCCGGGTCCCTCTTAGCTTTGCGAGGAGATCCTCCGCGCGAAACCGAGGAGGAGGCGGAGGGGCATGACTGTGCTCTGGGGTTCTCTAGGGGCTAGCATGTTGAGGTTTACCTATAGTCTCCGTTGTAGTTCCTTTTTGGGGTTACCTATATAGGATCCTTAATGTATTATTGGTTAAACCAGAAAAAGGAACTACAATGGAGACTATGGGTAAGGTTCAGGCTTCATGAGGCATTGGAGTCCGCAAGGTGTTTTTTTTTTGCTTTTTGCGGCTCGGGGCTGGTGGCTCAGTGACTTCGAGATTAGTACTTGGTGGTGTTACGGGTGAGGGGGTAGTCACTATTGAAGAGGTTTAAGGTTTTTGGGCTTCATGGTTTGAGGCTTAGGTTGCACTTTAAGAGCTCATACGGCTCACTATAAGTGTTGCCATACATGCTCTAAGCGAGTTTAGGGTGATGCAAGCCTGGACTTGTAAGCTTGACTCAACTTGATTTTGGAGGCTGAACGGTCTAGACCAATTCAGGGTTCGATTCTCCGTAAACCGTAGAATTTGGGAGTTCTCATAGCTTCGGGACTGTAAGAATTACCCACAGGCTCCATAGTAGTTCCTTTTGGGGTTCATATATAGAATCCTATAAGGCAATCCCACAAAGGACCTACTATGGAGCCTCTGGGCAGTCAATGGCTTCCATTTTGCAATGACACAACCCGAGGTGTTGAGACTGAGAAACTGAGACACTTTAGGTGCTGCCCCCATGCAGTAAGAGTCTGTAATAGGGCTACTATTAAAGTCCTAGTATATCTGTATTATGAATATTATTCAACTATTACTGAGTGGGGGCCGTACCCAAGAGACACTCTTGCTTCATGTTTCGGGTGTCAGCTTCGCTGCCTGTCCGGCGCAACTAGCCCGAACCCCTTACGAAAAGCCTCAACGCCAAATAGCCTGGACTGAAACTCTTGAAGAATTTTGGTCGTGGATTTCGAATCTGCAATGGACACGGAGTCTGTTAGCAATCTTTGGTCGACGATTTAAAGGGGGGGGCTTTCGGATTCTCCAGACTTGTTGGTGCGAGGTGCACATCACGGACCTCGATCGCACGGTGCTGCTGCTAAAGACTTCTGGCACAACTTCTCGTGGGAAGGCAATCACAGCCTTTGCTCAGCCTTAAGGAGAACATGGGCCCAAGGAGAATCTGCACCCCCAAGCCCCAAAGCAGCAGAGAGAAAACCCCCCAATACAGCTTGTGGATTTTTTTGCATGATTTCAGTAGGTGTATTGTAGGAAGTTCCAAGAGTGAGAACGGATGCTGCTGTTCAGTTGTACACTTGCAGTCCGAAAAGCAGTTGCAGAAACGAGACAACATCTTCAGGTTGTTGCGATTGCAGAAGACGAAATCATCTTCATCATTGCAAAAAGGGACTTAAACCCAAAACCCTAAGCCCAAAACCGTCATAGCAAAAAGGGAGCAAGCCGAGGGGACCGATCACTGGACCCCAAAAATTCCCTGTGCATCGGGCTTGGCCCGCGACCTCAATGTTTCAGCTCTCGATCCTAACATAGGTGGTTGTGAAAATTATGGTTCCTTTTTGGGTACCCTAAATATTATATAGGTGCCGTACTATACTAGGGGCCCAAAAAGAGACCCTAATTTTGAAAACCACCCACATCCTAGTAGTGGAGTAGGTAACCTTTATATAACCTTTTTGGGGTAGTATAGCCCCTGTAGATATAGAAACCCTATATACCCAAGAAGGTTAACCTTTAGTTCCCCATGATACCCTGCAAGTAGGACATAAACCCCTTGAAGTGTAAATCACGGAGCGCTAGTCGCCGTACCCTGAACCTCGAACCCCGGACCCTAAACCTGACATGCTAAGCCCCGCTTGATACCAGAGACCTACAACCATAAATCCTCAACCATATTTTTAATCCTGCAGGAGCCAACCCAAACCCTGAACCCTAAAACCGTAGACCATATGCCCTCCAGCCTCACCCTTGTCCATCAGGTGGTGCCTTTCTCTTTGCGCCGGCTGCGCCCCGGCTTTCAAACTGCTTTGAGTGAGGAGTGGATGCTTTTGAAACCTCGCGTGGGTCGCTCATGTCCGGTACATTCAGCCTCTCTTTGGGGATCCCTGATATTTGGGTTTAGGAACGAAGTTAGGGTAGATTCAGCCATTGTTTGGTGATCCCTAACATCGGGGTTTAGGAACGAAGGCAGCAAAGGAAACAAGCAGCTGCAATGGCAAACTTCTGCGAAAGCCCGGAGCCTCCAAGCATCTAGCATAATACTATAGGGGCCGAAATAATTACCTATACTATTCTGCGGGGTCCTTATTGCAAGTATAGTTTAATGGGACTCAAAACCCTATTCTAACTCTTAAGGCCCCTATAGCATGCCCCAACACTCTCTTCTCATCATTCAGGACCTTGTTAGGTCGTCCGTTCTACCACCCTGATTATAGGAACCCTGGTATTATTTGGGTATCCCTAAGCCCTAAACCCTACACCCTTAATTAAACCCTAAACATATCCCTAAGCCCTACCTTAACCCTGACTGGCCTGCGGTTTTAGGGAAGTCCTCGATTTCAGTTTGAATCACGCCCCTTTCCCATAATAACGCCCCTTTCCTTCGAATCAGGGTCTTTCGGATTTTGGGGTTTTTGGGACTTTAAGGACTCTATGAGGTTTGAAAGGGATGACGTAAGAGCTTCCCTCAAATCCAACAAAGCCCAAGCAAGCCTGCGAAATTCAGCCCCATTTCTGCCGGCGCTGGTTCGAGTCCGTGTCGAAGCTCCACATGTGCGGGCTGTGTGCCGAGCTGAGGAAGTTCCGGGATGTGTTATGGTTCCGTTAGTATATGACTAGATAAAAGGAAAGCTACTGTGATAGGGTGCACATGTAGATCTCGTTCTATAGTAGAGGAAACGACCTCCGTCACAGTAAGCTTGAACTCGCACGTGGCCCGGCACCAACCACTATAAGCAGTACAAACAGTGTTGCACGAATCAAAACCGCTGATCGCGATCAGCATCTCTCAAAGCGAACTCAGCTGAAATAAGAGTGCGTTGTAGAACACGAACATGAATCGACCGCATCGCCACCCGTCTTGATAAGCGAGCTGGTCTTCCTATGAAGTCTTCTTGAATTTGCACCGACGTGGCCAACACGTTGGTGGCCCAGTGGGCCTTGTGTGCTTCTTGATGCAGCTGCAATGCTGCATGGTGCAGCATGTGCACCTTCGGTACGAAGCCAAAACGGTTCATGTCTCGCCTGCCGCTTTCCACAGCGGCAAGTTGAAAGCATTTCAGAAATGTGAAGAACAACTTGACTAACTGCTTGGCTTTGTGACTAGCGATCCAAAACCCTTCTTTGTACACTGAGCTCAAGAAGCGATTCATTGCAATCGTCCCACGGGCCTTGGAAGCTTCACACAAGTTGCAACCAATATCTCGACGTGTAGGGCAGGCTAGTTAAGTTAGGATCGTAGAAGCAACAATAAACCACACGGAAATCTAAATTGTTCTAAATTAACTATTTAAAACCATCCCCTCATTCCTTGAAATCAAGATCAAATGCTGAGATAGCCGTGCGGCGATGCTCAAAAGCAGCGGATCATTCGTTCGGCCCACGATTCTTTGCTCGCACAAAAACTGAAGGAAAAGCATCAAGTTTGTGCTGGCTGCTCCTTTGTTCCATTTGCCGGAGGGGAAAGAAGCATTGCTGTCGATTCCCATTGTATCACGGGAGAACTGCTGCATGTGCATCGACAGTTTTTTGTCCAAGCAAAAGCCCCGGTAAAGCGCAGTCAAAGTATCGAACTGTGCGATAATCGAGTTCCCCGCAACCATGCCGATGTTGCAAAGGACCATGAAGCATGATGCCAGCCATACCTTGGCCACCCCCATGTGGAAGTTGTGCCATATATCCAACTTGAAAAAGTCGCCCACCTCCGCAGGAACCAGCAAAGCACCGCGAAGGATGGGCGGCTCGGAGGGCCACGGAACTGTCTGATGCATGGTGCTCGCCCAGTCCGGATCTTCACGTAGATCCTCCCACACCACCACGTCTGGGTCTTCCTGCGCTGCGTGGCAGAGGTGACATACCCCCTGGCACAAAGTCTTGCTTTGTCCCGTCTTGGGTATCCGAGAATAACTCCGATTCTCGAACCTTCCGATCTTCGTGAGGGCCGGTAGATCGCCCTTGGTTCCTAGATGCACTGCCCAAATCCGGAGCTCCGGGTTGTTCTCAGTTGCGACACCAATCTCCCAGCATTTTCTCAAGTCATCAGCGAAGGTTCCTGCGAGGCCTTGAAACAGCTCAGGCTTCTGGGCATAGACCTCGCGAAGCATAACCGAGTAGAGAAACTGGTTGCTCCACGTAGCTCCGATGAAGTTAAGACCCATCCCGTCACGCTTGCTCTCATCTTCTTCGACCGCCTTCAGGTAGCCGAGGGTACCTCGTCCTAGGCAGCCATGTACTGACAATACCATGATCGGCTTCTGCTTCTGGGATCTTCCTTCATCAGAGTGGCTCCAAACGGGGATGGTCAATGACAGGTCCAACAAGCCATCTTGGGCTCGTGAGAAAACTTGGTGTGTCGGGTGCAGGGCCTTCCAACGGGCCCAAAATTCCGTTAGTCGGTCTCGCATGGCATCCATATGGGGAACCCCACATAGTTGCGACGGCACTCGCCCGCTGTCCAGCAGATACAACAGCCAGTCACTGAATTTGAGTACCGGCCACGATGCCAGCTCCTCGTCGGCATTCTGGCTGATCTGCTCAAACTGCACAGGGATGGGGGCTGCCAAGCTGCATTCTCGGAAAATGCGGTGGGCACCCGTCTCCGCATCATTCTCTGAAACAGCAGCAAACCTTCTCAGAGCTCCGGTCGCACCCTCGGGGTTGCTCTCCAGCGAGGCTTTGGCTGTCTGCACGGCGTGCGAACAGGGGACCTTGGCACAAGCACAACATTGCTCACATGCAAAAACCTTCACATGCTCCAGCGTGCACAGAAACAAAGTCTTAATTTGCATCAAGAGACATGGAAGCAGATTGTTTTCCCATCTTCGCCGAACGATTTAGTAGCTCCCCGATATAAAATTAATTTTGCACATGACATTGTTGTTCCACATCATGTAGAACACGACTGAACTACCCTACACGCCTCGGCTGATCTGCTCGGCCACCAGTGACATAAGCGAAATAAGGCGGGCCTCCATTATCGGATTTGTTGAGGGCACCTTCCCCTCCCGTATCGCTCATGTTCTGACATCCAGAGCAATTTGCATAATGAGAAATCAAGGCTGCCTCCAGCATGTGAAGCTGGCCAACATCGTCCCCCTTAAAGATCACCCACATGTTTGTGAAACCTTTCTGTACATAGCCGACGAAGCGTTGGGGAGGGTTCCTTGTCACACCGATCTTAAAGACGCACAACGAAACTCCTATGTGCTCCCGAAAAGAGTCTACTTGTTGCCTAGCATGGGCCAAGACCTTGCCACAAGTAGGTCTAGGATGCCTTGAAATTTTCCCCCGGAACACGATGCCTAATGTTCGCAGCTCAGACCACATAGGCTCTGCATCACTGAAGCAATCAGCGGCCTCCTGTAGAAGAGCCATATCCTCACATATGTCGCTTTCTACATGGAATAAGAACAGCACAGCTCGACTTGCAAGAGACTGTTTGCCAAGGTGCTGGAAGTCGATGGATGGTCCGGTTCTGGTTTGTGTCCTGCATGGAGTCCGAAGCTCGGAGCAGTCTAAGGATTCGGCAGGTATTCTTAAGAATAATTGGGGTTTCGGTATACATTGCATGTCTGTATAGGGTACCAAGAAGAGACTCCTTGGTGTGTAATGTCGTGGTAGTCATCGGTGAGGGGGACGGCCAGGACGAAGGTGATAGAGGCCTCCTTAGACGTGGTCGCATCGATCTACATATGTTGCTAGGAACCCAGTTCCATTGGCATGTGCGAGAGCGATTAAGCCAAGTGGCTTGTATCCGTGGCTAGCAAGAGCAGACTCAGGCACAGCACAGCGCCAAGCGTTTGTGATTGGGCATCGATATGTCAGCAGGTCAACCAAGTCGTCCATGGCCCATTGAAAGCTATATGTGTGCCCGCAGTGCTCTGTGCTGGCGACACCTAGCTCACAATATCTCCTAAATATATTTGTTTGTATGCGTGCAAACGTAGGGGCCAGAGAGAGAGAGAGAGAGAGAGAGAGCGAGACGGAAAGAGAGAGAGAGAGAGAGAGAGACAGAGAGAGACAGGGAGAGACAGGGAGAGACAGGGAGAGACAGGGAGAGACAGGCAGAGACAGGGAGAGACAGGGAGAGACAGGGAGAGACAGGCAGAGACAGAGGGACGGTCTATGTTAGCAAATGCTTGGTGCGACAGCGAAACCATCGGTCTATTCACTGCCCTGGGTGAGTAGTCTCAATCAGATGCCGGGTTCTCGGGTATAAGGTAAATCATGAACGATTCAAGAAGCACCTAGGAATAGATCCACATATGGGTAGAGATGTGCACAGACCTAGTTCGACCAGCACTTAAATGCAAGGAATGTGGCACTATAGGAAGTGCATGAGCTATTGGCACAACATGGCCTTTCCTAAGCATCGCAAGAGAACTCAATTCGACAAAGTTGGTGCCAGCATGCATAGAAGTTCATATATGCTTTCATTCACCATTGAAATTATATACACGATATACGGAGTGTAAGGTCATAAAGATGCTGGCGAGCTTGATCGATGGTCAAACCGAGAACATTCCTGCGGAGCTGTCTTTAATGCACTATTCATTAAATCATTGCGGAAACGACCCATTTAAGTGCACACATTGCAGTGCCTACTTCCATAAGATCTTTCGAAAGCGGCTGAATAAAGACTGCACGATGCACATGGTCCTAGGATTGAGCTGCTGTTGCAGTACACACACACACACACAACATGTGCTCGCAGCAAGCGAATGAGCGACTGCATGAGGGCAACAGTACTTGATGCTCCATACCGCTCAGGCCACGACGCCACGAGCGACACTCCGGGCCAGGTCTTCTAGCAACTTGCCCGGCACCATATCATCTGGCATGTTACGGTTGGATCATTGGCTGGAGACTGCTCGAAGTATCTGTGCTCTGCATTTGGTGCTTGATCAGACATGCACACACTATCGCTCTAGGGCTGACAATCTTTTCGAGCAGGCAGAGCAGGATTCGCATGCCCCGTCAGCAGGCCCGCTGCCATTGTCCCCGTCCGAAACTGGATAAGTGATCTAATTGTAGCACCCGAGAGCTCTCTTCACTTTAGAAGAAAAGCTGAAAGTATCTAGGAATACTTCTCCCGAGCATCTTGGATCCAAGGTGGCGGCTCTCGCTGCCGTGGTTCACATCACTTGGCTTCGAAGTTGCGGAGATTCTTCAGGCAGTTCCTGGGCTGGGTGGCAAAGGGAACTAGGACATCGTTCTAGAGTAGCTGTTTCTACGGGGGATGAATTTCCAGGGTCACGAAACTTTGGGTTCCGAAAATTGTTGCAAAGTTGCCGTTATGAGACCTGCATGAAGGTTTCTAAATTAAAGGCCGAAGTTCTTTGCAGCACTTTCGGCCGTAACGACTTTGCAGCACCTCCAGGAATTCATTGGCATGCTGTGCGCTTTCTAGGGCCCTTGAGTTTGCACAGAAGACCCCGTGTGTTTCGTAGGCACAATTGAACGAAGTACAGCTGAGTGGAAGTAGGATCCCCACGCCATTTTGGTCTGGGTCATCTGCTCTTCGATCTTGGCCAGCAACCTGGGCTGGAGGTGAGACGCAGCGACAGCCATTCCATGTTATGATCTCGACAGAGGCCGGGCCCAGAAACTTGCTACTTATGGGGCCTGTGTGGGTTTAGGAGCAGCGGACTGCAACAACACCCTCAGCCAACAGTGCAAGTTCAGTAGCAGGTACAATCGAATAATTATTTGCACATAGAGGAGCTTTTTTGCATCGGCATCGGGCAAAGACTTGCTCTCGAGTTTGCTGGTGGAGGCCTTCACAATTTGGATTTTCTCACATTCTTTCTGGAGCACGGCGACGGCTCCCTCGAGGGCCGCGATAGACCTTAGAAGCAGCATTAAATGGCTGGATCGAAGTATCCAGAATGTACTGTAGCAGGACAGTTCGTGGCTTCGATTGCTCGCAAATATCTGATGATACATGGTACTTCTCGGCACGTTTCACGAACTCCTTTGGAATATCTTTGCGCTCCGTCATCTCTTGCTCGATCGATGCAATCAAGTCTTCCAGCTTTGCACTTTTCGTAAGCAAAGAATCACCGAACTTTCCGAAGGTAAGATGCTCCTGTGTTCATTGAAAGCACGCACAACAGCCTGGGTGACCTTGGGTGCACATCTGATGTCTCACGGTCGGGTCCTGCTGGGCAGAGGAAAGCTCCGTGGCTTTCACCTTTGTCTTGTCCTTATCGTCCTCGTCGTCGCTTGTCTCTGGGATCTGTGGCAAGTTGTCAGCAAGGCAGCCCGAGCCGCGCAGGCGGTCGAGGTTGACAGCAGTGCCAACCTCAGCCGCTTTCTGGGGCTTGAGTATATACAAGCTTGGCACCTACAAGGGTCCTATATAAGACGAGCTAGGAGCATTACACAGGCTACATGGGGATCCATCTTTACAGGAGAAGCAGACATGAACTGGTACTTGTACCCAGTGCACCATGAACAATCGATCGAACTGACCGAACCGCTTAGTTCAGTTGAGAAGCTTCCTCCCCGTCCTCGTGCCGTTCTTTCTCCTCATCGGAGCGAGCTGCCTCATCTTCCTCTTCATACTCCACATAGTATTTGTTGATATTCTTGTTGTATTTGTCCTTCCTCGTCAGGTAGCTTGCATTCGGTTATATAACAGGACTGGACGGAGCCGCATACGCATTGACTGTTGCTGGTATTATAATGAGGGGTCGAGAACATGCAGGCATACATATCGCGGGCACACGTATGCACCTGCATGTGCTCTTAAGACATATATATATATATATATATATATATATATACTTCTTTAGATTTGCGTGTACGAACACACTATATAGAGCTTTAATTAATTACATGCCGGTATATATGCAAAGGCATACGCACATGAGTGTGTACATGTGTATATGTATATGTATATATATATATATATATATATTACGTATATATGTCATATATGTATATATAGTATATACATATATATCCATGTAAATATGTGCTTGACTCGCCGTGCACACTCTTTCCTCTTCTCCTGTGAAACACATCAGATATCTATGATTTAGGGAGCGGATGCATGCAGGTACAGATCCCGGCACACCCTATTATAGATTGCACACATCTCGGTCACCAAGTACCATGCATGCAACAGCTAGACAGTACTATAAGCCAGGTCTCTTCACCAGGTGCTTGTTCTCCGGCCGCAAGCAGAACTTGACAACGCCAGCAATGTAGGTCCTCGATCGGATATACAGGGGAGCAGGTTCTAGCTGGTTAGCAACATAGGCAAAGGTCAGCCCACGCACAGCATTAGCTGAGCGCCCGTCTTACTCCACTTTAGCTTGATCTTCATCCCTTCGATCGTGAACCATCCCCGGCGAATTTTCGAACGCAAGGTGTTGGTCACCGTCTTGGATCGGGTGACCCTGGAGAGGAAGATCTCCTGCGTCACAGGCAGTCTGGATGGGGATTCAGTTGGGATTGTAACACAGGGAAGTGCACAGGAGTCTGGGGCATCCTTGTTGAATCCCGATTCAGTCAGCTGCTGAAGCAGCTGGTCTTTACCAGGACCTCCGGCAGCCCATTGCTTGTGCACTGCCTCCGGAACATTCAGACGTCCCGAGGGCTTTCGCTCGCACAATCGACGTAGTCGCATATCCTTCGATGCCTGTCGCAGACAAGACATATCTTGACCGATGGTTTCGATCTACATCTTAGATATATATGACTGCATGGGTGAGATTATCAGAATGCCTCGGACATCGCGTGAATGTCTTCGGGGGTCAGGACCTTGTCTTTGCTGGGTCTGCCATTTTGGGGAGGGCTCGTCTTCGGCGGGGTGGTGGTGGTGGTGGTGCTGGGGGTCGCCTTGGCCAGGACTGGGCTGTTCGCAGGCCGTTTTGCTGGCGGGGTTTTCAAGTTCTCCGGGCAACCCACGCTGCCGCTGGACTTTAGCCTTTGGAGCTCAGCCTTCAGGTTTTTGTTTTCCTGCAGGGACATGCAATGCCCCCAACATCAGGCAGTAGAATGGCATGGCAAATTAACAGAGTACGTGTCTAGCTATTTAAACTGGCAAAGAATGAGATTCTCTGATACAAGCACCTCCTCTAGCAGGTTCTGGTCGATGGGCCGGAAGCCCTTGCTGGGGGCTGTCTTGGGAGTCGGGGTCTCGGCTTCCTCCTCGCTGGGTTCGGCTTCGACCTTGACCCTTTTAGCGGCTCGGCTCTTGGCTGCTGTGGACTTCGGGAAAGCCAGCGCTAGGCTTTCTTCGGAAGCCTGGGTTCTTTCGTGCTGATGCAATCATGCAGGATATCGACACTGTAATCTTGGCAAACAAAGATTGCAAA